CCTGCTAAGGGCCTACCTTAAGCCAGGCACAGCACTAAGCTCTGGGAATGGCAGGATGACAAAGGAGGCCGTGACCTAGCAGGGGAGAAAAATACCTCAAAGCCCAAACAGGGGGCTGGGCACAGTGCCCCACGCCTATAATCCCAGCATTTTGAGAGGGCAAGATGGGAGGATCACCTGAGACCAGAAGTGTGAGATCAGCCGAGGCAACACAGCGAGACCCAGTCTCTAAGTAAATATTAAAATTAAAAAATTAGCCAGGCATGGTGATGCATGCCTGTAGTCCCAGCTAGTTGGAAGGCTGAGGCAGGAGGATCCCCTGAGCCCAGGAGTTCGAGGATATACTGAGCTATGATCACGCCCCTACACTGTAGCCTAGGTGACAGAAAACATCCCATCTCTAAAATAAAACAAAAGAAACAAAATGCAAACAGTACACACCATGAGATAGGCTGCCAGCATGGAATTTGGAACTGTTTTTGCAATACTGGGACCCAAAGGCAAGGTTCACAGAGGGTATCATCAGCATTTAATTTACCTGCTTGCCTCAGAATCTAAGCTTCCTGCAGGGTCTACCTGTCCTCCTGATGGCACACGTACCCAGGTGGACCTCCCAGCATGATCACAAACACTAGTATCTTCCAGGGACCTGTTTCTTTTTCTTCCCCCAGGAAGAGGGTCTTACTCAGTCACCCAGGTTGGAGTACAGTGAGTGGCACGATCATGTCTCACTGCAGCCTCGACCTCGTAGGCTCAAGCAATCCTCCTACCTCAGCCTCCCAAGTAGCTGAGACCATAGGCATGCACTACCATACCCAGCTCATTTTTGTAGAGATGGGGTTTGTGCTGGTCTTGAACTCCTGAGCTCGAGATCCACCTGCCTCAGCCTCCCAAAATGCTGGGATTGCAGCCGTGAGCCACTGTGCCAGGTCCAGTCAAAGGAGTTTAGACTTTAATCCAAAGATAATGAATAGTCACTGAAGGTTTTTGAGAAGGGAAGTGACCTGATTCAAGATCAGCTTTGGAAGACTTCTGTGGTAAAAATGTGCAACATTAACAGAGAGAGGTCAGGTTAGAGAAAGGCAGATTAATTAAAAGACAATTAAGGCGCTCACACAAGAAGCAGTGAGGACTTGAATAAAACACAGGGCCACAAGGATATGGGGAGAAAGAATTCTGGTGAGTTGCTCTGGGTGATGAATTTGCAAGACCTGGCAAAAGGCTGCATGGGAAAGGGAAAAAGCAAAGCTGTCACAAAGGTTTGGAGCTGGAGGACCCAGGAGGCTGGCAAAGGGGAGAGGGGAAGAGGATCAGGATTGGAGCCATTCAGTTTGGAATGTACTGTTTATTGGAACTTGAGGTAGCAACAGCATGTCTAGGTGGAGAAATACAAGAAGCACTCAGAAAAGTGGCTCGAAAGGTCAAGCGCAGAATGAAAATTTGAGGCCACTTCAACAGTATTTATATTAGCATTATAGCCAGGCTGGGAGTAGTGGCCCATACCTGTAATCCCAGAACTTTGGGAGGCAGAGGCGGGTAGATCACTTGAGGTCAGGAGTTCGAGACCAGCCTGGCCAACAGGGTGAAACCCCATCTCTACTAAAAATACAAATATTAGCCAGGTGTGGTGGTGTGCAACTGTAATCCCAGCTACTAGGGAGGCTGAAGCATGAGAAT